TTGTGGTTTATGCAAGTATAGGCTTATAAGCTGGACACGAGTTCTCTCACATTGACAGTGGCTTGATGAAAGAACGTAGACTAACCTCACACTTATCTGGTGCCCTCGGGAAGTGGAGATATTTGGGATGTATATATATATATCTCGAAGTCTCTACTTCTTTTGTAGAGTCTGATGGTGTAGTGGGTTAAAGCGTACTAGTTATGTCAGCTACTGGAAGGTAATTGTGCTTTCTGGGTTCGAGTCCCACTGGTGGGTGTTGTCCAAAGATTGTTAATCTTCACTTGTGGTTTATGCAAGTATAGGCTTATAAGCTGGACACGAGTTCTCTCACATTGACAGTGGCTTGATGAAAAAACGTAGACTAACCTCACACTTATCTGGTGCCCTCGGGAAGTAGAGATATTTGGGATGTATATATATATATCTCGAAGTCTCTACTTCTTTTGTAGGGTCTGATGTAGTGGGTTAAAGCGTACTAGTTATGTCAGCTACTGGAAGGTAGTTGTGCTTTCTGGGTTCGAGCCCCACTGGCGGGTGTTGTCCAAAGATTGTTAATCTTCACTTGTGGTTTATGCAAGTATAGGCTTATAAGCTGGACACGAGTTCTCTCACATTGACAGTGGCTTGATGAAAAAACGTAGACTAACCTCACATTTATCTGGTGCCCTCGGGAAGTGGAGATATTTGGGATGTATATATATATATATATCTCGAAGTCTCTACTTCTTTTGTATGGTCTGATGGTGTAGTGGGTTAAAGCGTACTAGTTATGTCAGCTACTGGAAGGTAGTTGTGCTTTCTGGGTTCGAGCCCCACTGGCGGGTGTTGTCCAAAGATTGTTAATCTTCACTTGTGGTTTATGCAAGTATAGGCTTATAAGCTGGACACGAGTTCTCTCACATTGACAGTGGCTTGATGAAAAAACGTAGACTAACCTCACACTTATCTGGTGCCCTCGGGAAGTAGAGATATTTGGGATGTATATATATATATCTCGAAGTCTCTACTTCTTTTGTAGGGTCTGATGGTGTAGTGGGTTAAAGCGTACTAGTTATGTCAGCTTCTGGAAGGTAGTTGTGCTTTCTGGGTTCGAGTCCCACTGGTGGGTGTTGTCCAAAGATTGTTAATCTTCACATGTGGTTTATGCAAGTATAGGCTTATAAGCTGGACACGAGTTCTCTCACATTGACAGTGGCTTGATGAAAAAACGTAGACTAACCTCACACTTATCTGGTGCCCTCGGGAAGTGGAGATATTTGGGATGTATATATATATATCTCGAAGTCTCTACTTCTTTTGTAGGGTCTGATGGTGTAGTGGGTTAAAGCGTACTAGTTATGTCAGCTACTGGAAGGTAGTTGTGCTTTCTGGGTTCGAGTCCCACTGGTGGGTGTTGTCCAAAGATTGTTAATCTTCACTTGTGGTTTATGCAAGTATAGGCTTATAAGCTGGACACGAGTGCTCTCACATTGACAGTGGCTTGATGAAAAAACGTAGACTAACCTCACACTTATCTGGTGCCCTCGGGAAGTAGAGATATTTGGGATGTATATATATATATCTCGAAGTCTCTACTTCTTTTGTAGGGTCTGATGGTGTAGTGGGTTAAAGCGTACTAGTTATGTCAGCTTCTGGAAGGTAGTTGTGCTTTCTGGGTTCGAGTCCCACTGGTGGGTGTTGTCCAAAGATTGTTAATCTTCACATGTGGTTTATGCAAGTATAGGCTTATAAGCTGGACACGAGTTCTCTCACATTGACAGTGGCTTGATGAAAAAACGTAGACTAACCTCACACTTATCTGGTGCCCTCGGGAAGTGGAGATATTTGGGATGTATATATATATATATCTCGAAGTCTCTACTTCTTTTTTAGGGACTGATGGTGTTGTGGGTTAAAGCGTACTAGTTATGTCAGCTACTGGAAGGTAGTTGTGCTTTCTGGGTTCGAGTCCCACTGGTGGGTGTTGTCCAAAGATTGTTAATCTTCACTTGTGGTTTATGCAAGTATAGGCTTATAAGCTGGACACGAGTTCTCTCACATTGACAGTGGCTTGATGAATAAACGTAGACTAACCTCACACTTATCTGGTGCCCTCGGGAAGTGGAGATATTTGGGATGTATATATATATATCTCGAAGTCTCTACTTCTTTTGTAGGGTCTGATGGTGTAGTGGGTTAAAGCGTACTAGTTATGTCAGCTACTGGAAGGTAGTTGTGCTTTCTGGGTTCGAGTCCCACTGGTGGGTGTTGTCCAAAGATATATATATATATATATATATATATATATATATATATATATATATATATATATATATATATATATATATATATATATATATATATATATATATATATATATATATATATATATATATATATATATATATATATATATATATATATATATATATATATATATATATATATATATATATATATATATATATTAGTATATTTTGGTAGCAGTCTTTCCTGTAGATATATATTATTAAATAAGACCGAAAAAGTAAGATTAATAATTCTATCACGAATTTTCTCAATCTTTCGTACATTTCGTTTCACTGTTGGAGGTAAATCAAAAATCAATTCTCCAAAATTCATTTTTATTTCTAGTCTGACGCGACACAACACTCCTCTTGTAACAAGAGGAGTGTTGTTAACGCATATGTCGATCGTGCTCGCAGCCACAGCTCAGAATGGAAGCAAGTCGACGAAGAACTCTGTAGGGTAAGGCAGGTCCTAGTCAATAACGGCTTCTCCAATGGTTTCGTCGAAGACATCATAAGAAGGAAAGCCATGCAACCTCTGAAGAGACAACTAACACAACACCTATACCCCCTATTAGACTATTTTACAGGAACTTCTTTTCCACAGCTCATAAAACGGAGGAAAGGGTCCTGAAAGATATTGTTAATAGAAGCGTTATCCCTACAGACAAAAATCAGAGGATACAACTGACGATTTACTATAAAACCAGAAAAACGGCCAGCCTACTCATGAGAAACTCTCCAGACACAAAACAGAACGCTTTAAAAGAGACTAACGTCGTCTATGCCTTCAAATACCTTCTTGGGGACTGTAAGCTCCAAAAAAACCCAGTATGTAGGCAAGACAACAACATCTCTTTCTAGGCGTTTAACGATGCATAAGCAACAGGGCTCCATTAAGGAACATATAGTCACTTCCCACAACCAAACCATCGCCAGAGAAGTCCTAGTAAACAACACAGAAATCATCGATAGATACAGCGATAGCAGGCGGCTTGACGTTTGCGAGGCACTACACATCAAGAAGTCAACACCAGCAATCAACAGCCAATTATTGCACAACTATATTCTACCCACCTCAAGACTCCGCTCCAATATAGAAGCATCAAGAAATATGGACCAATAGGCTTTCTACAAACACTTCTATTCAATATCCATTGTTTCGTGTTCTGTCTTGTGTTGATGAAATTAATACCCTATTAATTCTCTTGTTCTGTCTTGTGTTGATGAAATTAATACCCTATTAATACCACATCTTGTTCTGTCTTGTGTTAATGCCACATCACCCCTTCCACCTCACTCAAATGTAGATATAAAATCGGAGATGCGTAAGTTGTATTCAGTTGTGTATTTGTGAACTAAAGTCTTTGAAAATGTAATAAGTTTTACGAAACGCGCTCGTGTCGCGTCAGACTAGAAATAAAAATGAATTTTTGAGAATTGATTTTTGATTTACCTCTAACAGTGAAACGAAATGTACGAAAGATTGAGAAAATTCGTGTTAGAATTATTAATCTTACTTTTTCGGTCATATTTAATAATATATATATATATATATATATATATATATATATATATATATATATATATATATATATATATATATATATATATATATATATATATATATATATATATATATATATATATATATATATATATATATATATATATATATATATATATATATATATATATATATATATATATATATATATATATATATATATATATATATATATATATATATATATATATATATATATATATATATATATATATTTGTCTTAGATAGCCTTAGATATCATACCTTAGATAGCCTGGCGCTCGAAACGCATTAGCATATCGAGTACTGTGACCAATACACCATAACTGACTGTACAAAAGTCATTGGTAATCGGAAACTATTTGCCCAACCACCCGACAGCAATCACTATGTCAAGAGATCACAGATAATTTTCATCAAATCAGTCACTGTTGCAGAAAATGCGAGCCAAAACTTGTTCTAGAAATAAAATTTGTTTGTAGGAAATGTTCTACAAACTTGCATAAACCACAAGCCATATGTAACCAAAAGACTCTTCCTTGTGAAGGATTCGAACCTTTAACAGGTTCTTTAATAAAAAAAAAAAGGATTTTAAGTTGCTAGGAAAAATATTTAGTTGTTACATATAGGAGCAAAACCTAACAAAAAAGCTTCAACACAGGCCAAAATTGTAGAGGGCTGAATAAATGAACGCTAACTTAAACTAAGGAGTTTTGATACAATGGGCAATCTTTGCTGCCAGAGTGAGTCTATTTTAAAGTAATGAGCAGATATTCAGATAATTTAATTAAATTTCTTTGAATAAAACTCCTGTTGAAGGAAACAAATGAATATTCGGAGAGGTTGCGATCTGATTTAGTGTGTTACCTTCAACAACATTTTTAATGAAAGAAAGAAATTTAATCTAACCCTCATGAGTCACACGAATGAGCAGGTGAGTGGGAGGGGATATTGGAGGAGACGGAGATAGAAATGTGGGGACCAGGGAAAATTGGTTGAGAGGAGGGAGAGGGGAGATTGGAGAGAGATGATGAATATGGGGATAGGGGAAGAGAGTTAGCGGTTGGCATAGTGGGAAATAGAGACTAGGAAACCGCCAGGTACATATTCAAGTAATAATTTATTTAATTACTTGAACTTGGACCTAAATATCTTTATAACATATATAAAATATCTCAACTTACTCTGATTCAACAATATGCGAAGATAAGCGGATGTTGGTGAAAACTTTTGTTTTTGGCTGACGGTCCTGAGTGAGAAGCATGAGGACATGAGGAAGGCCGTCAGAGACAGCACCAGCAGCGCCGCCAGGATGGCCGCCCATACCACCGGCTCCAGAGGGAACAGGAAGCCCCACGGGTCCACCTCCGGCCGGCCGCGGGCTCCCAGCATCCTAAAGTAGTCAGTTAGGATTGGTTCTGTGAAGTCCACCACTTCAGCACGGATTCCACTAACACCGAACGGGCCGACTGCTACGTCTACTTCCTATATGTTGGAAAAAAACATCAAAGCACATAATCAATAGAATGAATATTGTTTGATAGCTGATGAAAAACATGAGCGATACAAAGTGTATGACTGTTATTCTTGATGATACTATCAGTGAACTAGTCAGTAGTGTTTGTGGGGGAATGGGATTTCACGATTCTCTTAAGTTGTGCAAGTGAGTGCACACGAGATGTAAATGAGCATAGAATTTCCAGATTACACATTTCTTGGGGCACTGTCCTTATTCCTCTTGTCTGGGACCTAGGTCTGCCAAATTGGGTATCTATTGATATCCCCTCTGGCATTGTAGACCAGTGGTATTACAAGGCTGGTTGCATGCCAAGTTCCTGATCTACCCGAAATATTATAAAAGTCCTCATTAAAGCTCAGTGTTCCACAGTCATGGGAGACAGGAGACAGAGTGACTTTCCATGGGCCCGAGCGAGAAGAGTCAGATCACACGATCAGTGGGAAGTCACGTCTCCCAACCTTTATGAATGCTTTTCCATGATGTCAAAAGAACTAGTCAACCTGCATTTGGGATTGTCATTTGGATTAGGCATCTGTACATGACTGCTCTATGTCTTCCTTTACCGTACTGTTGAAATAAGGGAAAGCTTGCTAAGCAACGTGTAAATCCGAAGCATCGTTTTGCTCCTGGAATTCACATTCGTTAGATGTGCAAGGATATAATAATGGCGTTCAGCAACGTACAGTAGTGTTTGAGGTGAAAGGAAGGAGAGACTACTGTCTATGCATCATTTGAACTTGGCTATGCAACATCAAATGACTCCAACCATGTGCAACTGACTATTTTAGAGTGCGATCGTGTTTAATCTAATTCATCAACTGATAGTGAACGGTTTAAAGTTTCTCTATTCAAATCAATTCCACTTGGTTTCTAGACCGAGTGGGGTAAATCTTAGTTTACTTCTTGACTCTATGTTTTTTGTAACATCCACCGTGAGTCTGTGAGTCTGTGAATGAGCCCTCGTGAGTCTGTTTCATATGAGTGTTGTGTCAAGTTCAGCTTCGCGCTCCAATCCCGCTGCTTGTACATGTAACTGTCATCTATTACGTCAACGAGTATCCGCACATTTTCAACCATGTTCGTTAGCATTTGAGGGGACAGAAAGGAGAGACGACAATCTACTCATTTATCAATCCCAGCTACACCAAGCAACATTAGCGTGAATGGAAGGTCATCATTCATCTGTTAGGGATATGTGAATTACAGGTGAATGAATCAAGAATTCACAGTAGGAATGAATACAGTAGGAATGAACCTGCCTACTGTAAGTACAAAAGCTGTACCATTTTTCTAGTGTTACCTTCTGTTGATTTCAGTGATTAACCGATCAAATAAGTATATTTCCTAGTCCAGCCCACAACAGGTGAAGATTAGAACAATTGGAAGTGTTAAGACGTTTACCTGCTTTGGAATACTTTGCACACCTGTTCAAGGTGAAAGAACAATACGAAAAAAATCGTTCGCAGAATAAGAATATTAACCTACACCGCAAATTTAGAGTTTCAGTGACGTGATATTGCAGTGATTTATTCTTGTCTCTGTGATTTGTGTCTATTTCAAAGAATTAGTGTGGTCTCGGTGGCGAGAGTTTATTTCTGTGATTTGTTATTGTCTCAGTGACGTGGATTAATCATTGTGTTATACTGCTGTGTGCATTATTGTCATTGTTTGTCTTGTTGTGAATTTAATGTTTGTTTTGTTGTGCATTTCATGTTTGTTTTTTTGTCGCTTTCATGTTTGATTTGTTTTAAATTTCATGTTTGTTTTGGTGTGCATTACATTGTTTTGAATTACCGAGTACCCTGTTGTAACTCCAATCAATGTCATTTTCATTACCGCAAGAATCGCATGCAGTTAGTGTCAGAGTGCTCACAAGTGTCCAGTTAATTCACAGTGCATTATGTATGTGGGTAGAGACGCACTGTCTCCTCACGGCCATAGTGACCATTCCTGTTCTCTATGCTTTGCATAGTTTTTTGTAATGTTCTTGACTAATGTATTGTCAAGCTCCCTGTGTAATAGTAAGTTTATTGAATAAACCTGTTATTAATAACAGAGGTTTTACATCAGCATTTCCCTAAGTACTGCCCCCGCACTTATTCTGTTTAACTTCCCGTTAAAGATTCCGGGTATATTGAGACCCTATTGCCTACCAAGACTAAATAACATCAATGTGAGTTGAGAACTCACTTTTAGTTATATATCTAAAATTACATTTACTCGTTGGAACAAGGCTGATGACCCAGTGAAAGAGACACCTGCATGCTCGTCTGGAAATTGGTTGTTGTGTGACAACCCTCTCCACATCTCTCTACATGAGATACAGCAAATCTCTGCGGTTCATCTCGCAACCGCAGAGAGCAATTTATGTTAATTTAAAGCTTGCAGACCGACCACCATTGGGATTGGTGTTCTTGCATGCAGTTGCAGTCGTTTCAGAAAATTATATACTCATAATGATTTACCATCTATAAACTCGTCATATAACCTATCACAAATGTAGATAAATAAGTTTATTATCTTCAACTTTTTATAACTATCAACTATACTTATTAATAGTCATATACGTTTGCTTTATTGAGATTAACTCCATATACGCTTCATTTACCTGTCTAATCACCATCCCCACCATTCCTGACCAGGTACCATCGTCACGCTTAATGCCCCAAGATCCATCAGGAGGCCTCATGTAGCTGTACCTAGAGGAAAGAAAACCCACAAATATACATGGCCATAATAACTCTTACAACAACTATTACATATATGCATATATATAATAAAAATATAAATTCTCCAAAATTTAAAAAAAAAAATAATTTTGGAGATTTAATATTATTATTACCACCGACAGTGAAGAAAAATATAAGTAATATTGAGAAAATTCGTGTTAGAATTATTAATCTTACCTTTTCCTATGTTTTTTCCATGTTACGATTCCAGTTCAATGTTTCTGATTGCATTGATAAATTCAATTTTTCATAGATTTTTATTTTTTTTCAATTTGATTTAATTATTTTATGTGACACTGCGTTGGAATTGAGCTGTGTCGTTTACCATACCATGTATTTCATGCCTATAGTTTGTTTCTTTCTTCATTGTTTTTCAGTTCATTTTTTTTAACAATTCTGCTTATTTTTCAGTGCAATTGGTGGTGAAATTGAACTGTGTCGATTGATCTGCGTTTAAATATAAATATTCCGTTAGTATTTTTTGTTTTTGTTTTGAAAACAAGAAAATGAACAACACATTTATTTCACAGCTGCAAATGTGAAACAAACTGTTATGAATCCACCGGCTACAACATTAACTGCTTTCTTCACGTTATGTCAAAATGATGTATTTGGGAAAACACTGCTGAATTCGGAAATGCCTACGTATTACACATGGAATGCCATTTGGCATTCCATGGGCCCGTATAAAATCATTTGAACGATGCAAACGAGGAGAGGGAGTCGACGGACAACCGGGCATATTCAAATAAACTATGATATGAAGACTGTTTACAGTGCATCCCAATCGAGATGAATACTTCTTTCTTCGCATGCTGTTGGTAAATATGTTCGGTCTAACGTCTTTCCAGCAATTGAGATTTGTAAAGGTCGTTACACCCGCCACTTTCTGTAGTGCATGTATAGCTCTGAATTTATTGGAAAACGACCGACACTGTGATGTATGCATTATTTGTGTCCATTGTTTGCAATCATATTGACCCCCGGCTCTCCTTCATCTCCAACAGAGTTATGGGAGAAATATAAATTGCACATGACTGTAGATATTATCCGTCGAATATGCAAGGAAAATTGAAATATGAACATGGATGTCACAGCAAAATCTACAACGAAGCGTTGATAATGATTATAGATTTGTGCTTAGAAATAGCGAACAAAGTTCTCAATCAGTTGGAAATGCGAATCGATCTGCTGCTGCTTTGTTCGATGTAGAATTGCGTCGTGAACAAAATTACAACACGGGTGATCTGTTGTCGTATCTGTAATCAAATATTCCCAAGCTAACGCTTGAGCGAAAAGGTATTTACAATCGAATAAATCAAACAGTCAATAACGGGCTTGGAAAACTCTTCTTAGATGAGCTAGGAGGAACTGGTAAAGCCTTTCTAATTAGATTGATTCTGGCAGCATTTTGATCACAAAATGGCATAGCCTTAGCTCTTGCATAGTCTGGAATAGCTGCGACATTGCTACCAGATGGAAGAACTGCTACTTCGGCTTTGAAATTGCCATTGAAAATGCAATTCACTGAAACTCCCACGTGCAACATTTCCAAAGGATCTGGCATGGAAAAAGTATTGCAGAAATGCAAACTCATTGTTTGGGATGAATGTACAATGGCCCACAAAAATCACAGTGCATCCGAGCGGATTTTTATATACATACTATATAGATGTCATGTCTGTGACAGGAAAAAATATGTTTTTTTTTAAAAGCTGTGTTTTTCCTGAGTTTTACAAGTGAGGAAAATCTTCGAAACGTCTTTACCGATTGCTTTGAAATCTTGACACAACATTGCATTCGAATAGGTGAGTGTTTTTATATGCCTACTATATATACATGCCTTACCTGTGACAGGAAAAAAACATTCTTTATTGAAAAACAGCGCCATTTGTAGGACGTATGAGCAACACATACTGTAATCTCCGAAAGTTCTTCACCGATTGCTTTGAAATTTTGACATAACGTTCCTTTCGAATACATGCGTGTTTTGATATACCTAATATTTAGACGCCAAACCCGTGAAAGGTAAAATCATGCATTTTTTGTAAAACAGCACCATCTGTTGCACGTAAGAGCAACATACAAGATACGTTAAGATTCAATTTCAATGTTTCCGATTACTTTGATATATTTAATTTTCGTGGGTTTTAAGTTATTTTCATTTTTTTCTTATTTTTAAGTTATTTAGATGCCAAACCTGTGAGAGGTAAAATCATGTTTTTTTTGAAAAACAGCACCATCTGTTGCACGTAGGAGCAACATACGATATACAAGATATGTTACGATTCAATTTCAATGTTTCCGATTACATTCATATATTGAATTTTCATAGGTTTTAAGTTATTTTCATTTTGATTTAATTATTTTGTGTGACATTACATTGGAATTGAGCTGTGTTTTTACCATACCATTCATTTCGTGGGTATAGCTTATTTGTTTCTTTTTTAATTATTTTTCTTTCCATTTTTTAACTGTTCTTATTTTTCAGTGCAATTGATGGTGAAATTGAGCTGTGTCGATTCATCGACGTTTGAATTTAAATATTTCGTTAGCATTTTTTGTTTTTGTTTTAAAACCTGAAAATGTACAACGCGTTTATTTTACAGCTGCAAATGTGCAACAACTCCACCAGCTACAACGGTAACTGCTTTCTTCACGTTATGTCAAAATGACACATTTGCGAAAACATTGCTGTATTCGGAAGTGCCTACGTATTACACATCGAATGCCAGTAGAAAATCATTTAAACGACGTAAACGAGGAGAGCGAGTCGACGGACAACTTGGCATATTCAAACAAACTACGATAGGCAGACTGTACACCATACATTCTAATCAAAATGAATGCTTCTTTCTTTGCAAGCTGTTGGTAAATGTGCCCGGTCCAACGTATTTCCAGGAATTGAGATTTGTCAGCGGCGTAACACATGCCACTTTCCGTAGTGCATCTCAAGCTCTGAATTTATTTGAGAAACCGCCACTGGGATGTATGCATTAATGCCACGTCCAACACGTCATATCCGAGTCAAATTCGTGCATTATTTGCAATCATATTGACCACCGGCTCTCCTTCATCTCCAACAGAGTATGGGAGAAATACAAATCGCACATGGCTGAAGATATTGTCCGTCGAATACACAAGGAAAATTCAAATAGGAACATGAATTTGACAGCAGAAATCTACAACGAAGTATTGATAATGATTGAGGATTTTGTGCTTTGAAATCGCGAACAAAGTGCTCATTCAATTGGGAATACCATCACCGAATCGATCTGCTGCTGCTTCGTTCAATGTAGAATTGCGTCGTGAACAAAATTACAACACGGGTGATCTATTATCGTATGTGCAATTAAATATTCTTAAGCTAACGCCTGAGCGAAAAGGCATTTACGATCAAATAATTCAAACTGTCAATAACAGGTTTGGAGAAATCTTCTTAGAGGCGCTAGGAGGAACTGTTCAAATTAGATTGAATTTGGCAGCATTTCGATCCCAAAATGGCCTAACCTTAGCTCTTGCATCGTCCGTAATAGCTGTGACATTGCTACCAGGTGGAAGAACTGCTACTTCGGCTTTGAAATTGCCATTGAACATGGAATTCATTGAAACTCCCACGTTCAACATTTCCAAAGCATCCGGCATGGGAAAAGTATTGCAGAGATGTAAACTTATTGTTTGCGATGAATGCACAATGGCCCTCAAAATATCGCATGAGGCTTTCGATCGTTCATTGCAAGATTTGCGTGGAAATATCAGACCATTTGGGAATGCATTAATATTGCTTGCAGGAGATTTCATGCAAACATTACCTGTAATTCCTCGATCGACACCAGCGGACGAAATAAATGCTTGCCTGAAATACTCTACTTTGTGGCGCCACGTAAAGATGTTAAAATTAACTACAAATATGTGTGTCAAACTGCAAAATGACTCATCAGGTGAGATATTCTCACGTCAATTTCTGGAAATTGGGAACGGAAACGTGCCGGTTGATCTGACCTCAGGACGAATTTCATTGCCTCATAACATCTAGAATTTAGTGACATCAAAAGAAGAATTGATTGAAAAAGTATTTCCCAATATTCAAACCAATTATAAGAATCACGATTGGCTGAGTGAAAGAGCTGTTCTTGCGGCCAAGAACAAAGATGTTTAAGAATTTAAAAATATTATTCTGTCTAACATACAAAGCAAGGCAGTCACATACAAGTCCTTTGACACTGTGGTGGAAGCAGATGACGTGGTTAATTATCCAACAGAATTTTTTATTCACTCGATATGCCAGGAATACCACCACCGCATGAACTGCAATTAAAAATCGGCGTGCCAATTATCATGTTACGAAATATCAACCAGCAAAAGCTTGACACCAGCACGCGGCTTGCAGTAAAAAAAATTATTCACCAACGTTGTAGAAGCAACAATCTTGACAGGACCTTTTAAAGGTGAAGATGTCCTCATTCCTCACATTCCTATGATTCCAACGGATTTGCCATTTCAAGTTAAGAGATTGTAATTCCCAATACGAGTGACGTTTGCAATCACCATCCACAAAGCTCAGGGCCAATCTTTAGAATAATGCAGTTTAGATCTAGACACGGATCGCTTCTCACATGGACAATTATATGTTGCGTGTTCTAGAGTCGGCAATCAGACAATCTCTATATCTTCACAGACAGTGGAACAAGAAGAAAATATTGTATAACCACAAGCATTGTGAAATGAAACATGTTAGAAATGTGAATTTTCTCTTTTCTTTCTTTTCCATTTAACCCGACTGAGCCACAGCAACGAATGGCAGGTACAGCTAGTATATATATATGACAGTGTCCGACCACGGAGGAAGAATTGAAACAGGAATTTCCTTAAGTACTTTAGTACATAAGTACTAAAGTCCTCCATGGTCTGACACTGTCACATTTTTTATCACGTGTTAATTTTCGTGATTTACACGCACAAACACACAT